GAGTAAGACCCATTGACTTTTAAAGTTAGTTATAATGAACTTATTATTTTCTTTATGACTAGGTGTATAGCAAGGCTAATATCTGTACACCAAAGCAAACAATTATACTACCAGAAGGTAAAGGAAAGAACGAAAAATTACTTTATAATACTTTACCAAAATATATATGCAAAAAACCATTACCAAACTCATTTTTGATGAAACACCAAGGGAAAAAATGTGATCTTGAAATCAAAGAAGATGATGAAGAATTTGATGCATATCTAATGATTGTTGGAAAAAGCACTGAATGGATTGTAAATGGAATAAAAATCAGGGAATGCCTCAAGGAATACCAGTTGAAGAAGAATTTGCCAAAGATGAGGCCATAATATTATGACATTGTATTCTTCAATTCTAATAAAGATGAGTTTTTTAGAGACATTGGATGAAAGTACCATAGTACAAATGCTCAGTGATATAAATGAGAAAGAAATTGAAAGTACAGTGAAAAATGAAATCAAACTGCTATTAGATTGTATCATTGATCGTGATATTAGAAAACCAAATGAAAAACTCAAACAAATAAAGGAAGAAGATAATGCTTTATTTGAAAATAAATTCGTGTTGAATTTCGTGAGTTTATTTCTTAATCTTTATTGAGAAATGTGGTTGCGATTAATGAGATTAATTATACAGTATTTATAGGATGAAATTAATAGAAGATATCAATTTATTACTTGACTCAATGTTGGAAGGTACATATATCAATAGTATTCTAGTACCTGTTCTTGATGAATTTTTTATCAAAAATAAAAGGCAATGACATGTATATTACAGTAAAACTTATCTCAAAGCAAGTACAAAAGATAAAAATTCACAAAAAATACAATTTAAATTATTTTTGAATCATAAAATCTATTTTTATTAATTTGTCAATTTATTTAGAAAATAAAAAGTTATGTACAAAGGTAAATAAATTAGAAAAAGCAAATGTCAATTTGGAGATACAATTAGTTATAATAGAACATATAAATAGAATATTTTTTGACAAATAAAAACAGCAAAAGAAATATATTGAATATCTAAAAAAGGAAAATGAATAATTAAAACTGTATAAGTCAACATTATAACCAATAGTAGTCTAGAAATTACAAAAGTGATATCCAAACTATAAAACCAATCTGAACTTGAATATTAACCTAAACCTGAATATCAACTTAAACTTGTGCTTGAAGCTGAAACTAAATATATAATTTTAAATTCTAAAAATATATTAAATATATTAAAGAGTCAAAGAATTCAGTCCAAAAAAAAGAATAAAAGTGACAAAAAGAATAAAGTAATAAAAATACTTAAACTTTCAGAAATTGTTTTTAAAAATAAAAAAAGACAAAGGTTGAAATGAAGATTCTAGTAAAAACTATTTCTAAAAAACTTTAACTAAAGGTAGATGAAGGTTTTTCAAGTGATACAAATAAAAAAATATTAAGTAAGTTAATATTTGAATTATTAAAATTAATAGCTCCACATTTTAATTCATCATAAAAACAGCTGAATAATTGATTAAGTATTTATATTATTATTAAAAAGAAAGACATCAAAAGATACAAACAATCATCACTTATATGCAAATAGTTAATTAAATAAGATAAAATTAATTGATATTTATATTATATTACTTGTATTAATTTTTATAGAATAATAAAGAAAAGTGTATAAAGAATTAAAAGTATATAGTCACTTATTAACAAAAAGTTCAAAAGTATTGCAAAATATCAGAAGAAATTGATTGATATAGTTAAAGAATCAAGAGTTTATTTAATTGAAAAAAGTGAAACTGATTTAGAAAATAATAATAAAAGAAAAAAATATATATATAATTATAGTTAGTATTTTGATGAGATATTTTTTAATAAATGATTTTATGCCAAATAATTAATTCATTATTAATTATTTTATAGTTAAAAGATTTATTGAAAAATTTAAATAAATATTTAAACTATAAATTAGAAGATGAAGAGCAAAAAATAAAACAAAGTAAAAAGATAAACAATTAATAAAAAAACATAAAAGATGAAAAATCTCTGATTATAAGGAATTATTTATATATTCAAAAGGAAAAAAGCATCAAACTGGAGAAAGTATACAAATAGATAAAATTTAAGAGGCAATATTAAAGAAAAAAATTAAAAAAAAAATTAAAGAAAATCATGAAAAGCACAAGAAATATAAAAACTATAAAAAAGTATCCCAAAACAAAAAAAATTCAATATTATAAAATTTTCAAGAGTTATAAGGACTATGGTGAAATTAGTAAAAGAAAAAACAATTATGGGTAGAAAGATTTGGATAAAGAAATAGAGAAGAAATTTAGTGAATAATAAGTAAATAATTATCAAATAATTAATTAGTGAATAATTAACAAAAGATAAATAAATAAATAATAAATAATTAGTAAATAATTATTTTAAATTTTAAATTTTTTAAATTTTTAATAAATTTATCAAGTATTAATTAAATTTTGTCAAATATTATTATAAATGCAATTTTTTTATTGAAAATATACAATTTGATTTTATTAAAGTATATAATGCTAAATAATTTTGTCAATTTTATAGTTAAATAATAAAATTTATTTCAAATACTATAATTTTTATTATAGAATATTGTAATTTTATTGTCAAATGATTTTTTTATCAAATAATTTTATTGCCAAATAATTATTTTTTATCAAATATTATATTTTTTTTGTCAAATCATTATGTCTTTTTCAAGTATTAAATGGTATAAATTGGACCAAACAATTAAATTTTGATATAAACTTTTATTAATAAATTTGAATTTAATCAGCTGTAATTTAGCAATTTAATAATCTAATTTGAACTAGTGTATTATTATTTATATTATAGTATAATAATAATAATAATATATTTTTTTATTTTAAACTTTAATAATTAAACTGAAATATATATTAAAATTTTATTTGACTATATAATATTATTTGTAAAATAACGAATATTTTTTTATTTATTGAAATTATGTAAACCAAAATTTAAAATTTAAAATATACCTAAAACCATTTTAATTAATATATTACAAGATATAATCTATAGTGATTTATCTTTGTAACTATAGTTTTTTTATTTAATATGATTATAACTTTTTCAATTATAGTTTAATCTAATTTTTATCTATTTGATTTTTTATTCTCTAATATTAAGGATATATTTATAACTGCTTGATACTATTTAATAAGATATTTTGTTTTTAAAATTTCTTTTTAATATCAATCATTGGTTTTTATAGACAAGCTAATGTTTAATTTTGATATTTATATATAAAAGATATTGCTTCTTTTGTGATATATCTCTTATATTATACAAAACAATTAATATTTCTTTATTAAAAAAATATTTATTTATTTATTTATGTTTTTTAATACGGACTTTTTTTTATCAAAAATATAAACATTGAATTGTATTTGAAATCACATATGATTTAATATACCGTGATCAAAAAATTTGGTATCAACAAGATTTTGTAGAAACATAAAACAAAAGATAATATACAGTATGTATATGTGATATATATACCATACATGTGGATTATTAATTGTTTTTGTTTTTAAAAGAAAACAAGATTGTTGTATTATAGAAAACAATATTAAAAATACATTATTTGTTACAAGAAATAAATAAGATAGCAAACAAATAAATAAATTAATATAATGGATAGTCAAGATGATGATAAATATGATATTGAGAAAAAAAATTTTTTTTTCTCAAAAACAAAAGACCATTTACGGTCGAATATGGTAGGAATGTAACCATGGTGCTAGCTTTCAATATATCATGTATTACTCACCTCCCGGCCTGGTATAACTGACTTTCACATACAATCTATAAAAAGGTTCAATCGCATTCGAACAAGAAAATCCAGTAGATCCGTGAATTTTTAATTTGGATGTCGGAAATCATATGATTTTCAGTTTAATTGCCAGTATTATCTGTCGTTAATAAAATTCCTGTGATAAAGAAATTTCCATTAACCATCCGTGTTGTCATGCATTTATTGTGAATATGCTTTTACGAATTTACTATTTTGCACTGGTTTCTAGTGTGTGCATAGTTAAATCGAATATGTATTCTAGTGATACTTTTCAAATAACAAATCGCTATGATGTGGTATAACTTATTGTATTAATAAAAAAGGGAATATACATAAGAGGTACGCGACAAGTGTTTGGTTTATGTGATGGTCATGTTTCCGAAATTTACTCGAATCACAGAATCCGAATCGTTGAGCTAATGCTGTTGCTTTGGCAACGCTTCTTTGTGATGATGGATTTATATCATGGGATGCACCTAGTTCGATAAATCGGGAACGGTGGTCCTAAATTTGTCTTAATAGATCATAATGTCGCATGCTAAGTATAAAAATTAAACAGTTGCCCGCAGTTTGTTCTTTCTAATTCTTACCATAGATCACGTTGGTCATGGTATTTTTAGGAAGTCCGTGTTTCAAATGTCAGCGACAAATTGAGGCAAGGATAAAATCCAACTACCACATCACTAAAGATTGGAAATTTTACTAATACCCAGTGGTCAATCAAATTGGATCCTAATATATGTGACCTAATGTGAATTAATTGTATTAACAAAAAGCAGCGGATTTCTTAACGCATGTCCTCTTATTAAGTAAAGATCGTCCTCTCAGCCTAATATTAATAAGTCTAATCACAACGCGTGTTACACCATATGTGCAATGTTGGACGAATATCAAACCTTTGGTGATACAATAATCAATAATGCACTATAAAATAATAAATACGAATAGGAACGATTGACTTATTTTTTTATTGTTCGTTTTTAATTTATAGGGTGTCTGGACACTCTTTGAAGTGCATATATGTTATGTCCCTTTTTAAAAAAGTATAAATACGCCACCTCTACAAGAACTTCTTAATTGAAAACCATGTCTATTACAGCATCTGTTCCTGAAATACAACAAATCAAGGAATGCCCGAAAATTATGTCGTTGCCTTCGGAAATTTTTGATGAGGTTTTTAGGCATCTCAAGTTTGATAAACGTTCTCTGTATTCTTGTCTCTTGGTGAACAGATTTTGGTGTCGGAAAGTTGTTCCCTTGATATGGAGGCGACCGATGCCTTACAACCGAAAAAAGAATAATAATCATGTTGATGTTGGAGTGTTTATTCCATACTTTAATGAAGATGAAAGAATAGGAATAATCAAGGGTGGTATAACGATTCCTGATCGTCCTCGCCCATTCTTTAATTATGCACAATTTTTGCACATTCTTGACATCGAGGGAATTGAAAAGGCCGCCAAAGATTGGCTGGCGAAAGTCGCAAAGGGAAAGCAAGGGGCGAACTCGGACACAACTAGAAGTGATGAAATAATAGTGACAAATATTACCATTGATAGAATGTCCGAAAATTCAACTACAAATGCCATGGTAGCGTCCTTGTTGAAGATGTTCATGAGGTGTGCCATTAACCTCAAATACCTGGTATTGAATCCGTTCGGTGGTTATCGAGATATTCCGGACAGTAAAATTTTTATCGAAGGTCGACCAGGACTAACGAATTTACGTAAGTTTAAAATTCGATTCAATTCCTTATCAGTCATCCGACCGGAGCACCGAAAAAATATCTTTGAGCTCTTGAACGCTCTTCCGAATGTTTGCACCGGAATCCATCACCTGGATATAACGAGAGTACGGGTCTCCAATCCCGATGTGGCTCGCATGGTTGGAGGCGTGATCAGATCTCAACAGCAACTGTTCTATTGTCGATTCTGCAGAATTGACGGGGATGTTGATTCCTTGATATCGATGCTCCGGTATCAAGTAAATAATTTGATCACGGTGGTGTTTGATGATACGGATTTGGATGGAGTGTCTCTCGAACCTTTGGCACAATGCGTTAAGTTAGAAGCCTTGATATTTCGCAAATGTAGAAATGTCAATCTCGAAAAATGGCAAATTCTAATCAATGCACCTTTTAAACTAAAATTGTTACATTTGAGTGATTTAAACGATCTTGATCCTGATGTCACCAAGGCAATTATCGAGAAAGCAGGTGATAACTTGGAAAAGATTGGAATCGAGATGAGAGTTGTCCCTTCGAATCTCGAAGGACTGGAAGCGATCATGAGCAATTGCCCAAATGTCATGCATTTCTCGATGAAATGCATGCAATCACATATTGATATCAAGACAATTGTTCCAATAATAGACAAATTTCAATCACTCACGCATCTTACAATTCTCTTGGGGGGGCAAAGAGCTGGAACATATGAGTCTCTAGTGGAATTATCAAAAATTAATTTTCTTAGATTACAATACTTAGAGTTAACTTGCTCAGACCTTAGTATCGAAGGTTTAAATTTTTTCTTGGAAAATTGTGAATCACCGCTAACAACATTAATCATAGATTCGATTAGTGAAGAAGACTTGGAGATATTCAAGAAATTCTCGAGAGAACGGGGAACATTGAAGTGGCTGGGCGTAGAACATAGTAAACCCGAGGAAACCCCAATGAGTCATTATGACTTTCTAAAAAAGATCACCAATTTGGCCGAAGGTCTTTTTCAAGCTTTTCCAGCCAGACAATTGAGAGTTCGAGAAAAGTATATGTAGGATTTGGTTGGCGAAGATTTCCCATTTTCCGGTTCGTTTTTTTTTTTTTTCTCTGTCGTAAATTCATCGTGTTATTGTTACTGTGCTATGAAGATCTTTATAATTATCTTTGTATGATAGAATTTGAATAATTTTTGACGGATGCTCTTTAATCATAAACATTCATAAAAGAAAGATTACAGAAATCCATAATACGAAATTATATTTTCGAATTTAATGAATGGTCCAATTTCTTGATCCTTAGACATATTCGGAATTTCGGATGACCGTTAGAATGTGGAAAGCGTTATGGCCTCGAGGTTTCAAAAATATTATATATATCTGATGTCACAGTCGAGATTTAATTGGGTATACGTACACACGCTGAATGTGCATAAGCGGTTACGCCATTGTGCATTTACATCGAAGTGCGCTATCAAAAGATTCAGGCACACGTATCGACCGCCGATTCCATTATTTTAACAGTGTTGACCTATCGGTTTGATGTGTTAAAGTCTATCATTCCCCGGTTATTTGTCAGAGCATAAATAATTTTCGAAACTCGATGCGGGATCGAAAAATACTTTTCGGGAGATTTAATGGGCTCAAAATCGTATTTACTTTCAGCAGAGCATTCGATGACAAAAAATTACCCATTTATTCGAATTAGGTGTTACCTCATTCTATTCCCTCACAGTTCACTTAAATTTAGAATTCCTGTATATTTCATTACTCTTGATTCACAACAAAATTATTACAATATACATATAGCTGAAACCAGTTCAGCGTAGAAAAATTATAAACTCTCAGTTTTACATCGCATGTAGTTTCTCAATTCCCTCAACTAAAGGGATTAGAAAATTAAAAAAAAAAAATTTTTTTAAAAAAAAAAAAAAGTTCTATTGATTATTAATATGTGTAACGAGCATTGTATGAATGCGGTTAATGTTCATTTTTTCGTTTTTTGTTCACCATAGCCTGATCACCTTCGGGAGAAGGTCGTTTATTTGCATTTTCTATATCGAGGTTTTCTTCATTTTCTTCATGCTGATCTGCAAAGTAATCTTCATTGAGATCACCAAATTCGTTTTCGCTCATTGGTATATCGATCCCACCATTATAATCTCCTGAAACTTGAGACGGCTCGACAAGCAGACCATTATTTGTTGATTCTTTGTATAGCGTTATTAATGCTGGAACATCCATGAAATTTGCGACATTGGTACAATAAGCTAACATTTCCGTTTCAAAATCGCATATGGGATATTTCGCAGCGAGATTTTCGAAATGTTGTTCGAGTTTTCCTTCAACATTCAGGAACTGCAAAAGATTAAATGAATTATTGTTCTATATTCACATACAATTTCAGAATCAAGAAAGATCAAATTTCCTACGAACCTCTTTCATTCTGTCTTTTTTCTTCATACGGAATTCATCCAGAACCGAAGTACGTTGCCACAATAAGTAGTCGTCTGCTCGATTGGCAGCAAAATGAGGGTCTTCGTCATCGTCCTCACTTTCCGAGTTGTCGGAATGATAGTCAGATGGATCGATATCACCGTAGGAAAATATTTCCAACAGCGTGTCGATTGAACTATAAGAATCACAAAGATAACACTCAATCGCAGCCTTCATGATTAATGTGTAGAAAAAGTAAAGGATAACTTTTTAATTGAGAGCGAAGACAGGAGGAACGTAAAAATGAATTAAAAATTAAAATCCACATCTAACCTGAGTCAGCAAGTTCAACAGCAGGTCATACCACGTTGACTTAACCAGAATCGAATTGCTTTTTTCAAATGCCAATCTATACGTAATCGCGCTGCCATTTATGAAAACCGGTACTGCGTCTATCAAACCTGAAGCAGTTTTACGCGTTGGAGGAGCGTCACCACACGGCAGCGGCGAAACAATGGATAATTGATCGTGTTGATTGCATGCATCACAAATGTACAGTCTGTGTTTTCGACACCGAGACAGAAGAGGTTTCTTAAAGTGTTTTTCGTATTTCGCTAGATTCAGCGGTAATTTATGATCCCGGTGCCTGTTTGTCGGCATTGCGGTGGATTGGGGGACGTGGGAGTGATTAAATCGCGCGGTATTCGCAGAATCCGAATTTAGAATACGTCTGGATTTTAGCGGTGATGACGAAGTCATGTTATATCGGTCATACACCAGATGTAATAACTGACACAGGTACAGTCGATGCTTGAGAGGTGCAGGAAGCATCATTGACGTTGCTTGAGTACGATGTGATTGAAGTAGACCTAAGATTTTTTCGTATTGAAATTAGGGGATTAGGTGGTAAACGAAATTTTTCACGTAAAACCCTTAAATAAATACCTTCGACGATCGCCTCGACGCCTTGACATTTCTTTCGATGGAATGCGGCTGTTTGACGCTCTTTGGTCGAATCTTTCAAATCATCCTTGGCTTGTTCGAGTCTTGCGTTAATGGATAAGTATATCAAATAGTCAAGAATGATATTTGTTGTGGTTATGGGTGTATCGTTTGGTTCTTGGTGAGGTTTATCCATATCGGTAAAAGTTGGAATCGTGTTTTGATTCGAGAATAAATCTAAAGATCCGGCAAGGGTTGCAAGGTGCGGTCGCGTAGCATTTAAGGAAGAGGCATTGTGATGAGAGATTTCGTTAGAAAGTGCCATTGCAATTTTTTTTTTTATGCAATTTTATTTAAGAATGTTGAGCGGAATCGAAAGAATTTCTCGAGAAACGATAAAATCCACAAATTTACCAACAATGAATGATACAACTCTTATGTGCGCTAAAAGAAGAAAGTCTATTGATATTGATTATGAATATAGAAAATGCTCGTCTATCTTACGAAAAGGTGGAAAAAAGAGTTGTAAAGAAAATTTGTACGAATGTAAAAAAGAAAATAACGCTAGACCGTTGATTTATTGTTATTGTACTTCGTTAAATGCTGTTTCCATTGGCGGTTATATATATATATTTTAGGATGATGGAGAACACTAACGATAGGAATATATAGTTTATCACCACTTTATCAGCCACCGAATATAGAAGCTTTGGGAAAATCTCACTATTTGCATACGCAAACATCACGACTTATAATAAAAGGTCTAAGGAAAAATTCGGACAAACTGGTCATACACCACAAAAGAGTTCCGTTATCCGCGCATCTTTCCGTAAATTTGGTAACCATTTTACACAGGAATCGGAAAAATCGATAAGAAATCTGTAGTATGAACAACCAACCGACATGGGGACGACAAGAGATATATTATTATTATCAAATTCGGGTAATTTATATAATACATGTTTATTTACGGTTTACGGGTGGAGGTGAGCTGTACATAAATATTTATATATCGAAAAATTGTACCCAAATCCCTAGAACATTAGTCCATTGTTTGAAGAAAACGAATGAGAATTCTGTGTTTGCATATAAATAATTCGAGTGATTTGACCACTGTATCATATAACATGTTGGAAGCCACCCCATTGGAAAGGACGCAATCGGAGATCACTTATCGGATCCACGCAATATCACAGAAGCTCATACTGCGAGTTTAATTAGTTTAAGAAACAACTCACAGGTGATACATATTATCCAAGGTAAGAACGTGGAAAAATCAATTGGTTATCTCCACATTTTAAGGGCCAAATTAGGAATTTGCGGGAAGAGCACGGTATCACCACCTTAAATAAGATTTGACTAATTTGTTGATAAGACCCAAGCAGGAGAAAACCGGCAATCTGGAATTATCAACCTATCGAATTCGAGCTGTCGGAAATATGAAATTATAAGTAACTATAAATCGTAAATAAAAGTGTGCAGTTTAACGATACCCTCATGTAATTTATCTTTTCTCAAACATGAAAAAGAAATTCTTTTTTTCCTTTTTTTGTCATTCTTAATATGTGTGATTTATGAAAGAAAATGAAATATGTTCGATTGTGCGTAAGACTCGAAAAACCATGAGTTCGTGATACAAACACAAAAATGGGTCGTCAAGCTCGGGAGATTCAACATTTCTTATCTTCCATATCAGGCCGTGGTAACAAGAAATTGTGGGACAAGCCACATGGAACAAAAAGTTAATGAATGGTGTGATGTGTAAAATTTTCGAGGCGTGAGTAATTTTAATGCAGAAGATCATTATTATGGATAGATTAATCTCTTTAAGGTAATTTCTTCCGGCGGGACCGGAAGAAATTGTAATTACCTAATGCGCAGTATTTGGCAAAAAGGACAATGACATTGCACAATTATGGCGCAGCTGCTCATTGACCAAATCACCCTTATCAATCTGTTCACATATGTATACAAACAGCATTTCGTTGGCATAACATGCTCCAGCCATATCTGGTACTTTTCAACTATCTGGAATCATTCATTTACCAAAACGGTCAAAATCTTCCACCTCGAAAAAAAAAAATTACTTCCTATCACTTTGTTTATCATTGAGGGCCTGTGAGCGATCGTCTCGATTGGGATATCTGGATACAAATATGTCGAATAGATTGGGCCCGCCAAAAACTTTTCGATAAGAAAAAAACTTAAATATTGACACACAAAAAAACGATGTCTGAAAATTTGATATGCTGTAGGAACGCCAACTTTATGCATTCACAAATTTATTTATATTTATTATGGATCGATTCTCCAAAATCACAAGCTAAAATGTTCATTTTTGTGGTCCAGTATCATTTTTGTCATTGAGATTCAGCTCGAACAACAAAGAGTGAAACAGGGGAACTCGAAGAGGAAAATCAACGATTGAGAAGACAAGGAACCTCGTAAAGGCCATTCATTCAATGAACATAATCGCATCACAAGCAAACAATCATAATAAATAAATAAATAAAAAAGTAATTTCATAAGAAACACGTAATGCAATATTTTTTAAAACCTTTTTTTTATAATAATTACACACCGAATTTCAAAGTTTATAATTAATTAATTAATCATTTAATTAAATTTTATAATAAATTTAATTAGAAAAAATATAGATTATAAATAAGTACTTTTTTTTTTTTAATATTAATCTAATTTTCTTTAATCTAATTTTTTTTTTTTTTTAATATAATGAATATAATAATCAAAAATAAAAAAATGTTGCTTAAATTATTTGCCTATTTTTAATTTATGATTTTTTTTAATTTATGAATTTTTGAATTTTTGAATTTATTAAAAATATCTCAGATTAATAAAAAATAATCTGATAAAAAAATCTTCAAACTTATTAAATTTAATATCTTGTTTTCTTTTTTGTTTTTTATTAAAAACTTTTCTATATAATGTTAAATATAAAAAAAACATTAATTTTAATTTAATATTATTAACAGATTTTGTTTTAAATAAATGTTTAAATCTTTTTTTAAATAGTTTAACTTTTTTACTTGTTATAGAAAAAATATTTATATTTTGTATTTTTTGCTTTAAAAATTAATTGCTATTAAATAATCTTTTATTTTATTTATATTAATAATATTTTTCTTTAAACTTTTATAAATAAGAAAAAAACTTGTTTATATAAGATTTTGTAAATATAAACTTAAAAATATTTATATTTGTATTTATTATTCTGAAATATAAAATAATAATTAGTTTAAATAAGTTTAATTTTACTAAGATCTAATATATCTATTTGATTTTTCCAAATTTCTTAAATAATATTTTTTAATTTGTTATATAAAATATAGATTAATAAAAGATTAAATATTAAAGTTTTTATTTGCAATAGATTTTTTGATAATTTATTTTCTTTAATATTAATTTTGAATTAAACTAATGTAACTTTTTAAAAAAAATAATAATGTTTCTTATTATTTCTTTTGTTTTTTAATTTTATTAATCTAATATTAATAATTTCCAATATTATATAAATTATATTTTATATATTTAATACTTTTGATATGTTGTATTTAAATATTGTTAATTTAATTATAACTTTTTTATTTTTTTGTTTGAGAAACTTTGATTACTTAAAGTCTTTTCTTGTTTTGTTATTAAAAAGAAACTTATATCCTTAAAATAGTTAAAGTTTACAATTTTGATATTTTGTTAATAATAATTATATATTTTTATATTGTTTTTAATACTTTACTAAATTTTATATTCAAATAAATAATATATATATTAATTATTGTAAGAAACCAATATAAAGTATAATTCAATATAAGATAATTATATGATTTAATTAAAAAATAGTTTATATAAATATCGATATATATTATAAAATAATTAAATTTATTAATATTAATATATACAATATATATATATTTGTAAGTAAATATTGTTACTTTATTAATTATAAAAAATTCAGATTTTCTATATACTGTAATAAAAGTAACAATATTTTTTATATAATATATTGAGTTAATAAGCTTAATACTAACTTATCTATATTAATCTGTTATATTGTAAAGAAAAATAAATATTAAAATCATTACACATTATAAAAGATATCAAATAACTATAAATATCTACTTAAAATTATTAATAATAAGTTAATTAAAATTAGAGATTAAATTTTTTAAACATGATGACAAATTAATATTGTTATTTATAAGTTCATCTATAAAAGATCTATGGTTATATCTTTTGATTTTGAGTTAAAATTTAAAAATTAATAAAAGTAACTATAAGACTTGATTAAAGAGTTCTTGTGAGATTATTAGAAATCCTAATTTTAAATTATTTCTGTAGAAAAAGAAGTGTTAATATTAATATATATTATATAATAATTAAATTTATTACTATATACTTTAAACTTTAATTTTAATTGATTTGTTTAAATAAAATTCTTTAATTCTTTTTGATTATCTATTTTATTTTCTAGAATTATTTAAATATTAATAAGTAAAAATTTAAAATCAATATTATATTATAATTAAAATTATTTTTTTTAATAAAATGAATTCTTTTTACAAAATAGTATATAATATTTCCATTAGAAGTTTTTATAATAATAGTTTTGTTATTATTAATTATATCAATAATTGTTATTGTATTATTAAATATATTTTTTATTTTTTATTTTCTAATTGTTATTGTATTATTAAATATATTTTTATTTTTTATTTTCTAATTGTTATATTTATATTAATATCTAAAGCAATAGCAACTATTTGATCAGATTAATAAAGAATTATATAATAATAAATATTTGAATGTTTAAGCATATCTTTTTTGGATTTTTTTAATTAATTATTAATCTTATTATGAATTACTAAAATATTTTCTAAATAATTTTCAATAGTCATTAATAAATTTATTTGTGAATTATCAACTTCTATTTTTTGAAAAGAAATAAAATTGTTATAATTAAATTGTTAATAAATTCCAAGAAACTTATATTTAAACATAACTTCTTTATGAGTTTTATTATAAGCATTATGCTTTGTAGTATTATAAAAAAATATAAATTTAAGTAATTTATCTTTTCAATTTACATTTTGTAATTGATTTTTTTCATTTTACATTATTTTTATTAATCTATATCCAATTGTTTGATTTAAATATTCAATTTAATCTTGTAATATTAAATATCAGAAATGTCCATTTTAAATTTTAATTTCAAATAATTAACAAATATAAGTGATAACATTTGTGATAAATTCTTTATTATTATTAGATTATAGAATTGATAATATATTTCATTAAAAATTAAAGAAATTAAAGCTTCTTCTACAATTTTAATTTCTTTGGTTTTGATTGGAATAGATTAAAAAAAATTTAAAAAAGATATACACAATTTAAGAAGCTAAGCAAAATTATTGTTTTTATTTTTATATGCTATAAAATCTATAAGATCTATTTGAAAATATTCTATAGGTCCATAACTTATAATTGAAGTAAGATTTTCTTTTTTTTTAATTGATAATCTTCAATTACATATACTACAATTACAAATAAACTTATAAATATTATTTTTTTATAATACTAATATATTGTTCTGCAATTTTATTGTAACAATCTTTTGTATTAATATATTGATTTTAAATATGAAATTACTAAAAAAGAGATTGTCAAAATTTTGTATCCCATATAAATTCAAATTGTTTTTTTTTTTTTTTTTTTTTTTTAGAGGCAAAGCACATTACATGCGACAATTTTTATTAACTTATGAAACAAAGTTA